AATATTAAAAAAAATCACAACTTGGTCACTTGGTTGAGTCACTGTATGTAATACACACCATCATTTTCTATTTGTACTAGGCTTTAACGTGCATTAAAATCTCCAGAAGAGTACTGAAGAATTTTATTATGGGAAATAAAAAGAACTTTAATGTTCAAAAATAAAAGGAAATATGCAACTTTTTTAAATTTATTACATAAATGCTTTGAAAGCTACTTTACTGTAATTTGTAACATTCGAACCCATAGTCTTACTGAAACTATCACTTGCAGCAGGCATAACAAATTCGCTCCCTATTTTTCCAACACAATTAAGATAACTTTTGAAAAATAGGTACTTACATACGTAGTACAACTTTTTTTTCTTATAAACATTTTCAACTGTCTGTATTAACAGCATTTTTTTGCACAACTTGCATTTCTAGGAAATATGTTGGCAATTGATGTAAGTGATGACGTATAGACGTATGTAATATAATAAGTAAATACTAAAACGGGTTACTAAAAAGGGCTTGCGTTTACACCATCCTATCGTTTAAAAGATTTATTCTTTTTCCAAAGTTCGTTCAGCATATTTTTCTCAGAAAAGTAGAATAAGTTCTTACCGACTAAGATATTTAAACAATTTTTTACTTTTGTAAGGTAAGACAACAACTGTAACTCAATATTAACGAAAGCAATTACGGCGTACTGTGAACATGCTCAATTCAGTACAGTTTCAGCACGCTCATATTGAAGAACCCTTTATATGCATAACATTAATTATGTGAGCTAAAAACTGGTTCTCGTTTCAATATAAGCTTAAGTTTGGAATAAACTCATTTGCAAAACCTACTTACATACATATATAAAATGCATTCTGCGCTACATATGCACATGCATACATATCTATGCATACCCAGTGGGAAAAATGGTAATGCATTACAAGCGTGATAAATATGTAATGCATTTCTTATGAGTTCTAGATTCTACTACTGTTTAATATACAATCAGCATTCTAATGTATCAAAAAAAAAAGCAAAAAATGTTTATTAAATCGCATTCATTTCTGCATTACTGGCAAAGCCAAAATGAGTGCCACACTTTTCGAATATGAAAACGGCTGTTTTAATGATTATTTTTTTCGATTACAATTCATTACATTTTCTCACTGGGTATTTACGAACCTACACGCGAGGCAAAGAAAGTTCTCACATTTACGTTTCATGCTGAAAAACTCTCAATGAACGCAAAATAATGTCAGTTGCATTAAGCTTCTCTCAGCACGTGGATGTGTGACGAAATTCCGTATGGCGTCATATTGCAGAATAGTTTTACTAATCAGCGCATTTTCAATGCTTCAGGTAAAATTTCAAAAATATAATTTTAACTTTAAATAATAAATAAATAAACTAAATATCAACAAAATTTCTTAGCACGTGATAGCCCAGCCATTAGCAGAGTTCAACGATGATTCTATTGGAAGCACCCCAAAGCAGCAGCAGCAGGTGGATAGTACGAGTGAGAGAGCGCCTCCGAACAAGGCCACATCTCCATTAAAAAGAGAACACTGGGCCGTATTGTGTGCTGTGATTCCATTGACTCTTTTACTTATAACTATACTTAAATACAAATGCTGCCCAAGTGTGCGCATTTGTGGCTGCAAAGAAGTGGAGTTACAACGGAGAGAATCGATTCCGCAAAATAGAGTATTTAAACCACAACATCACTGGGGTTCCACAAATCATATCTGAGAGTATAATATACTGTTGCCAGAACTTTTTCGATGAACCGGCTAAATTGGCAAATAAAACCGGCTAAAAACGGCTAAAATGTTTCAACTAAATTTCACATGTTTTATTTAAATAAATCACGAGTAAAAAGACTTTTTCTTGGAGAGAAGTTACAAATTCGAGCCGGAAAAAATTTTGCCAGCAAGAATTTGCAATTAGGAAAAAGATATGATTGTGGCACATGGTTGGATTTTTTGTCGACGATAATTTGAATAAACAAGTTCGTTAAATTTAAAAATTTACAAACTGGAGCGATTTTAAAATGAAAAATGTAAGTTAATACTTGTTTACTTAATTAATTTAGTTAATTCCAAGGATTTGAAAGGTACTCGAAAAAAAAACTATTTATTACTATTATTTACTATCTGATATTTTGAGTGATAATTCTCGCTAGATTTTCGACGAACAAACTTATTGTCTTCCCTACAAGGCCTTATCAGACTGACCGATTCTGACATTCAAATAGAAACCAATACACATAAAACACGCTGTAAAAATTTCCCTTCAATTTTAAGGCAGTAAAATAACGACCTTACGTTAACATCAACCGAGGCCATATGTTGACAAGGGATGCAAAATCACAGTTACACAAAAGAATTGGTCAGATTTTTCAGAAATCCCTTCAATTCCAATATAAAATATGATGCCAAAAGACTGCAGATCTCCCATTTAGATGAGTTTTGCTTTACATAGAAATTTGTGCTCTTTTATTTTCATTTTGACTCACTTCAGTGTTGGTTCCTTTAATTCAAGTTGGCATTCGGTTTTTGGAATTTAAATAAGTTCTCAGCAAAAAAGTTTGTTAAAAAAAATACATATGTGTACATAGTGCCTGAAAATATATATATTATATATATTTTTCCCTTACTTTAAACTTTTGGGAGTGGGCAAAAATGATGCTTTGTAATTTAGGCAAAATTTAATATCTACATGTAATATTTATTCTGTTTGTTGGCACTATATCCAAACACAAACGCATCTTAAGTGTCCTAACAGTGAAACAATTTCTTATTTTCTAAGTTTGCGTATAGAACTGCACACTTAAAATTAAGACATTTATAACAAACATTTTATGAAGAAAATCCCTTCATCGTTTAAAATATAAAATTATAGTTTAAAAAACTAAAACCTCGCTATTATAATATTTCCATTCGTACTGACATCAGGTATGTAACTTGAGAANCTAACAAATCGGCTGCCGGCTAGATCGAAATTTCTCCGGCTGTTTGCTATCGCAACCGGCTAAATCTAGACGGAAAACGACTAAAATGGCAACACTGATACATATATGTAGATGAGCAGTCAAAGAAATGTTCCAAATTATACATTTGGGAATGAAGTGTATTTCTCTTAACAAGTACTTTTGGAACGGTATTCCCAAGGTGTGATTGCCAACTCAGGTAGGCTCCCTTTTAAGGTACTATTATCCCAAAAAATATAAACAATCGATTTAAAATTCATACAATTTTCAATTTGACTTTATAGGATGGTTTTTCTGAGAGCAATGTCAAATTCAATCACACTTTGTTGAATACATTTTGGGTGTTCCCAAAGTGGGATTTTAAAAGAGAAAACCCCATGATTTAAAAATTACAAGGAAAAATCATTCTTTCAATTCGTCGGCCAAGATTTTTTTTCTGACGTTTGCAATCATTTTAAAATCATATAAAATAGAAAATAAAAAAAAACTAAGTCGTTCCCAATTCTTGTTGTTTGAGATTGGAAATGAAAAATTGCTTGTGAGTTTGTGTTTGGAATTTTAAAACTAAATTACTTACAAACCGTCAGACTGCCTCTCAATAGTTTTACCGTGTAATATTTTTATCATAGAAAATGCTATCAATTTTCCATAAGTACGAAAACATTCGTAAGTTCAGATTATTTTTCTTTTATCACTCAGTTTCATATGTTCATTTTGCATAATATTTCGTGAGACATCTAACCATGTATTAATAAGAAATCTTCAGACTTACATAAAAATTTTACAAAAATAAAATTCCTACTTTTTTTAAAATTGAGCGAAAAGTAGATAATGAAGTGGTTTTTATTTATGCATTTACAACAACACAAAGTAAATTAGCTAATGCAGTGGTGGAAAAATAAATGGGACACGACACGTTTTCAAAGTTTGCCCATTTTTTTCGTTTATTTAATAAATCTTATTTTTTTTTATAAAATTATTGCCCATTATCTAACAAAAACCGTAGAAAATTGCATATAAACTTTCAACTTTTTTATCAGATTTTTTAGAATTTTTTTTTTTTGAGTATGTAGTCTATAGCCCATGAAATTTTAGTAGAACAAAGTGCAAGTTTTTACTTGTTAAAAAATCGCGTTGATTTTTGGAAATTTTTTTTAACGCATTTTCTTCCATAGAAAGTATAGAAAGTATGTTCGACAATTTTTTTGTAGGTGTTCTACATACATACAGTGGTCAAAAAATTATGGTCGAACCACTTTTTGCCAAGTTTTAACGTATTATTTTTATTGTTATTTAATTTGGGGTATTTTTTTATAAAAATATAGTTTCTACTTAAAAAAAAACCCGTGTTAATACAAGTTTCCAACTTTGTGCAATATTAAAAAAAATCAACAAATTAAAAACCTTGTACTTTATTGTACTAGAATTCAATGGGCTACAAAACTGCATACTCACAATCTAATTAAAAACTCGAAATACTTACGAAAATTTATTGATTTTTTTTTTTTTTTTAATTGCATAAACTTTCAAGGCAGTGTCACTCGATTAGTAAATTTGTACAGATTTGTGCATTTTAATATTGGGCTATTGGTACAAAATAAAAAAAATTAGGACAATTTTTTTTTGTAAAAAATTGGTACAATACAGCAATCTTCTTTTGAAAATTTTCAACAAGCGGCCGCCATTTTTCGTGGTTGGGATAAAGAAAAATATTTGGGTATTCACAAAATTGGGATACGATTTGTACCAAATTTCGGCAAATACACAATTGTATTTATTCGGATATTGTTAAAGAATGAGCTATGTATAAAAAACTAACCAAAATTAAATAACAACAAAAATAATATTTTAAAACTTGTCAAAATTTGCGGCTATAATTTTTTCTACTACTGTACAGAAGTTGACTACGATTACTCAGCCGTGCTCTAATAATAAAAATTTCACCCCTGTTTGTGTGAAATATTTTATTTTTATCAGTATTTTTCTTTTAATCAATCTATATTGAAATAAATGTGAAAATAAAAAAGTCTGAAATGAGCCGTGTGATATGACGATATGACTCATATTGAGGCTGATTTGGTGTATGAATTTAAGCTAATATACATTAGTCGACCTTCGGAGGAAGGGAAACACCTTCATTTCGGACCCTTAAATGAGCTCATTATGAGCGTAAAGGTTCCTAACTATGAGTCCTTAAACACTCATTTATGACTCAGATTGTTTGCTGGGCACACAGCCAAAGAAAAACTTCAGTTTTCAAATAAACAAATAGTTTTCTAACATTTACAAAGCAATTTTATTTACATTTACCTGCATACATTCACCAATTAAGCGGAAAGTCAAGCGGATTGGAAATGGCGCTAGTTTGGCAAATATGTTTGCTTTACAGCGTTCTTTTAATCTTGCAGGCAAGTTTTTGAAACTATTTTCTGAAAGAGTTTTACAGCACAGCCTTAAATTTGTTATTCCGTATATTTAGTACACGGCAGCACAGCAACTGGAGGAGAAGCTCAGAGATTTAGATATGTTTATCATTGAACCAAATGAAAATGAGAATTTAGCCGCTGCGAATAGAGCAGATGAGGAAGATCTGAAGGGGATGTCATTTTGGAATAATCCTACAAACTGGATCATTGTCACCGCTGTGGTTTCATTGTGCCTCTTGACAGCGCCACTTTGTGTTTACTTGTTTTGTCCAAATTGTCATATTTGTGGATGCAAGATGGTCGACGTAGAGCGTACGCACAATTGAAGTTGCAATTTGTTGTATGTAGTAAATGGTGCTTAAAAAGTTATATTTTTTTATTGGAAAAATTTACGTCCTTTAAAGCTTAATACAGAAGCTTTAGTTGGTCCATATGGGCAGCCGCCGGATTATTGTCGTATTTCCACGCAACCGTCCCTGAATTCTTAGAAAACTACATTAATTCTAAATAAAGTTTCTTCTTGCTACTCAGAGGGAATTATCAGCTTGGGAATCAACCGGTTCTTGATAATCGCATGTAGATTTATTTGATGTTATGTATTTACATGTATATACAGTGACTCAAATAAATGACCACGTGTTGTTTTTCTATAAAAATAACGGTCAAACTTTATAAAATATTTAATTTTTTAATTCAAAAAATTTGCGTCAAAATTTCAACTTATTAATCTGAATTTTTAGAACATTTTTGGGTATGCAGTTTTATAGCCCATAAAATTTTTTGTCTAATTGCGTTGACTTTTAAGAAGTTTTTTAGACGGATTTTTAAACTTTTTTCCATATAAGCATAAATTTATTGTGAAATAAAATGGGGGGGACCGTAAGCAACAAACTTTCGAAAAATTAACGCCAGTTTTTGTAAATTTCACTTGTTATATAAAAAAAAAAAATGGAAAAGCAGTCTAAAAAAAAATCAAAAATCAACGCAATTTTTTAGTCAGTTGAAACTTGCACTTAATTGGACTAAAATTTTATGGGCTTTAAATAAAACTGCATTCCTAAAGATGTTCTAAAATCTCAGATTAAAAAGTTAAAATTTTTATGAAAATTTGTTGAATTTTTCAAAATTTTGTAAAAAGTTTGAAACTGCGGTTTATATGTTTTTGGTTAAAGCTTGGATGGTATTTTTATAGAAAAATGCCAACAAAAAATTTAGCTCAAAAACATTACGAATATTTAAAAAATAAATTAACACGTGGTCCCTTGTTTTGAGTCACTGTATAGATGTATATATGTAGTGAGGTGCAATACGAACCGATTAATATAAACAATTTTAGTTGATAATTTTACTGCTATAAAATTGCATTCTAATAGTTTGCAGCTTCAGTTGCTTTGTATACAGCAAATAAAAAGGAAGGTGTTAGGCAGAAATGGACAATTATTGGAAAGTGTTTTTATTATTGAGCGTATTTCTATCACCGCATGTAAGTTTTTTTAACTAAACAATAATCAACTTAAACAGAACTCAGAGTTTTATTTGTCTCCTTGTATTAGCTAATCTGGATGGGTGCGGAAGCTCGTTTACATGTATGTAGATATTTAAAATAACAATTATAATTACAAATTCACATATATCTGCACGTATGTAATTTTATCTTGCAGATCTCAAAAGTTACCCAACCTACGGAAGCAACCACCACACCCATACCACCTACAAAAGACGAAATCATTGAGCAAGTCCTACCAAAAACTACACAGTCATTGATACCCGATACACCAGGTGTACGACAATTCAAAGAAGATTTGATTTCCCATTTAATGCCGACTATATTGGGGCAAAAAGAAGATGAATCTGGTGTTTACGTAGCTCAATTGTCATCTGAGGAAGTAGACCAGCCTTGCACCACTGATAGAGTTCGAATACAATTGATTAGCAGTAGCTTTCCCTTGCCAGAGCGTTTCTTTCATGCACCAAAGAGATGTTCGGAAGAAGATGAAGACTGAATTTGCGCTTAACAAAGTGGAAATATAACAATTCTTGTATGAGCAATAATTTTTATGGCAAAAACGCGGTAAAATAAATTTAAGCTCGCAATTGATGCAAAAATTAACTACTGATAGGAGTTTACATAGGAAAAAATATATTACTAGGTGGTAAGTTCTAAACTTTTAAATGAAATTCGCTGAAATACGACACAGATTAGAAATCAATCAGTGCTCGCATGCATAAGTGTTGTTATTGTTGTACTTCAGGAAAGCCAGCGTTTATTTTAAGTTGATTTGATGCGCTGTATAGAATTCAGAGCATCTTATCAATGCAGGAAATAACCGGTTCTGAAAATCGACTATATAGAAACATAGCTATGTACATATGTTATTTACATACATATCGTTACCTTAATATGGATCTAACATTTTAGTTAATTTTCGATTAAAAAAAAAAAAATTTTATAGAAAATTAAGTTATTTAGCTCCGGATGCATTTTGTACACTGTGTAGCAGTTATTTTTTAGTTGTATTAGCATTATAGTTAGTAATATTTCGACTTTAGTATGAAACTGGATTTTGAGGTAAGGATATGTCCCGCTGCCACCTCCAAGACTGAATAATATCGAAAATAAGGTGACCCTAGTTTCTTATTTTGAAATCGGTTAATATCTAACCGTGGCTGAGGCGCACAGTGTTCCGAAAAGCCATATTTAACGCGAAAAATTAGAAGGGCTATTGCTGTTATAGTAAAACTGCAGGATCGTAGTATTTTTGTAATGCTAACTCCCAAAATGTCATAAAATTTATAGTTTGACAGTTAAAAGCAATCAAATCAACTGGATATTTATCTAAAACTAATAAAATCTTTTTGAAAATACCATTAGTTGGGTTTTCAGGCACGCTAGTCACACGCATTTTATTTCAAATTAAAACTTTGACTATTGACAGCTGTCAAATGGACTGTGCCATTTTTTCAAATAAGGCAAATTTTTTAAAAGTGCTACTGATTAAGTTTTAAGACAACGATCACGATCTTTATGTTACATTAAAACTTTGAGAGTTGACAGCTGTCAAATCAACTGCCAATTTCTCTTAAAGTAAAAAAATATTTTTTAAAACGCTACTGATAAGGGTCCTAGACAAGCTAGTCACAAATTTTACGTCAAAAAAAAAATCCCTGAGAGTTGGCAGCTGTCAAATGGACTGTGAAATTTTCTAAAAATAAGACAATATATAGAACTTTTCTGCTTCCGATCTCTGTTATTGGCGGAGGTTTGTTGCAATATATTGTTTTTATTGGGAAGATGGAGACCCTCTACAGCTGGAGAAAATCACGTTGTACCTCGGATTAGTATATAATCAACACCAAACTCTCGTGTCTCCTCGGTGGTACTCTATGCTTGCAAAAGGAATTTGGGCTGCACCTGGATGTTATCGCTTTCTCTCTTCCACTGAATCTTCACGACAATTAACAGGCCGATAAATACTGTGCCAGGTACTGAACTTGTGTACAGCTATTAATAAGAAAATAATAGACAGTGTATATCGATACCTGAGTAGAAGATAGACCTATCTCGGCAGCCAGTTCGAGGAGCCCTATCTCATACAACTTTTCAGGGAAGCCCTACTTCAGAATTTTATTAAAAGAAAAAATTAAAGCCCAGAGCTGGCGTGAGGACACGACACTGGTTGGTCGATGATGTAAGTGCTGCAGTGTTTTTCGCCGCACTTGAGTTTATTAAGTCTTAAAAACGGTAATTTTTAGAGATGTTCTTTATGAAAATGAAAAAATTTATTCTGCTGGTTTTTTTGCTGTTGAATGCAAACATATACAAAAATAAGAAAAATTTGGTATGGAAAATTTAAATAAAGAAAATGGTCAAAACGTCAGGGTATTCATATTTTTGTCGCTGACTTATTGGCGGATACTCTTTACATATCGGCTTTACAATTAATGTTGCAATAATAGTACCACCCTTGTGAAAAATAACAAAAATAGTTAAATAAATACATAGGTTTGCTTTCTACATTTTCTACAAAAATTCACTGCATTTTTTAGTTTGTTTTATCTTCAGGTAAGTACGTGTTGAAACAAATCCATGTTGTATGAAAATAAGTTTCCACAAATTATATATGTATATAAATACATACATACATATGTACATAAATACGAAGGCACACAATAACTAGCAATCAATAGCTATAGCCTAACACACCCGTACTATGGCAAAGCAAAAGTGCCAAATGTAATCAGTGATGAATTGTTAAACTTTCCATTTAGCTTCAATAAAAATTGGCTGGACAAAAGACAAACTTTAATTTCGAGCAACATCTGCAAATAAAATAATTGCCAGCTGAATTGGTGAATTGATCAATTGGAGTGCGTTCCATTTTGACATTTATTCAATCGTTTGCCAATTTTCACGCGAATTCGGTTGAACAACAAAATTTCAGCGAAAAGCTCATTATGTTACGCTCGCGGGTAAGACTTTTGGCGACTTTTGTGTTAAAATGTGTTTTTGCGAGTGCTAATATACAAGCTATTCCAAATTGTAAAATACGCGTACGACATGCAATATACATATTTATTCAACCAACATATACACGCGAATTTGAAACTATTGTACATATGTATGTATGTATGTATATAAAATCAGTATGTATCAGTACAATTCACGAAAGTTAGCAAAATTAAGTGACTCTTGCAAAAATTAAATCAAGCCATTACATAAGCAAAGTATTTCTGGTAGTTAACAATTTTTGTAACAAAGCATTGCGTTGCTTTGGTCGATTTTGGGTAAATGTTTCTTCCCATATTGATAGCCAACTGTTGCCGTTGTATTTTATGGCTAATGAAATGACATAATAACTAGTTGCAAGTACTTCAATGGTGATGACTTACTTAACGAAGGCTATGAATTTGGTGGGTGATTGAGTAAGATAATTTCTGGGATTTTCCTTTTCGTGTGACTGCGTTAGTTTTTGTAACTATTATTTAGTTTCTTTGAATACATTTGCTTAAAATAATGATGTCAATGTGACAATTACGTTTTATTTGATTTTTACAACGCCTACGCTGTTAGGCTAAAAACACTCAATCAAGAGTTTCAGGTAAGAGATTAATCCGAATCAGGTATAGATTTCACTCCAATGTACCGGTTAATTTTACATATTTATCTTGTAGAAAAATAATGAACTCTTATAGAGTACTTCCACCAAAGGCTTAACTGCAGTTAAGAGCTCTGAAAAGTTCAAATAATTCTAACATGGGGTGATCGGAAGGGTTTTTTCTTAAGTTTTGCTTTTTCCTTTCGTTTGCTTCTACTTTATAGGTGGAACACACCCCCTTCGAATTGCAATCACCGTTCTTCAAACGGCATAAACTGCAGTTAAGGCTTGGTGGAAATGAACTATTAGATAACCGCTAGGAGAGTTTGTGGATAATGTTCGATAAGTTGATACCTATCGATAAATCGATGAATTTCAAAAACACTAAAATCCGATAACTCAACCAAATTCGATAACTCGACTATTAAAATACCCTTCCAATGGTGTTCCTGGTTTCGAAGTTTCGGCGTTTCGGTAGAATCGCCAAACNTAACATGGGGTGATCGGAAGGGTTTTTTCTTTAGTTTTGCTTTTTTCCTTTCGTTTGCTTCTACTTTATAGGTGGAACACACCCCCTTTGAGTTGCAATCACCGTTCTTCAAACGGCATAAACTGCAGTTAAGGCTTGGTGGAAATGAACTACTAGATAAGCGCTAGGAGAGTTTGTGGATAATGTTCGATAAGTTGATACCTATCGATAAATCGATGAATTTCAAAAACACTAAAATCCGATAACTCAACCAAATTCGATAACTCGACTATTATCGAAAATCTTCGATAAATGTGTATTTCGAGGACTCGATAATTTCCATAACTCAAAAACATCTCGATATAAATCGATAACTCGAAACATATTGGATACCTCTATAAATTTCGTTAACTAGGCTAATTTTGATAGCTCCACATATTCGAAAGCTATCGACAAATTTCGATAACTCTTTATACTTTGGTAACAGGATAAAATTCGTTAAGCAGTGATAAATTGATAACCTTATATAACCTGGAAATTTCGATAAGTCGATATATTTTGAAAATTTTAAAATCTTCAATTCGATAAATCGACAAATTTCAGTAATTCAATAAATATCGATAGCTCATAAAGTGAACGTACTCAATGAATTACGATAACTCGATAAATTGATAATTGATATTGATAATACAATAAATAACGATAACTTGATCTATTTCATATTAAACAAATTTGCGAAAAAAACTCGGTTTGAACAGGTTGCAACAACAACTATACACAAATACGGAAACGACGATTTTGGCCGTAATTTTCAAACCATAAACACTTTCCTCATCTACATAAAATACCCTTCCAATGGTGTTCGTGGTTTCGAAGTCGTTTCGGTAGAATCGCCAAACGAACGGTGACAAAATTAATGGCAACGTAATATAGACGTACATGATATTCATATTATGAATTCATTCAAAAAGCAGAACAAATACGAGCAAAATGAAGCAACAAAACTAATAACGATTTCGATAAAAAAATATCGATAAAGATTCTGGTATCGATTAAAATTTGTAATTGATATAGACACCTTTTAATAACCCGATATTCACATATATCGGCAAATATATCGATAACAATGCGCAAAATTTTCACATTGCTCTAAGTCATTTCATGCCGTCTGTGCTTCAGGGATCATTTACCAGTATCTGAACGCGTTTGTTAATAGTTTAGCTTCATCAACCAAAGGTAAAAAGTTATGTCACTGCTAGGTTTCGACAAACATTTCGATATCAAACATTTTGATGATATCGATAAAACTGCGTTTAATTATTTATTAACAAAAGTACGCATAGTTGAAAAGGTGTTCTTCTCCTCGCCTTTTTCGCTTTCTTTGTTTNAACCAAAGGTAAAAAGTTATGTCACTGCTAGGTTTCGACAAACATTTCGATATCAAACATTTTGATGATATCGATAAAACTGCGTTTAATTATTTATTAACAAAAGTACGCATAGTTGAAAAGGTTTTCTTCTCCTCGCCTTTTTCGCTTTCTTTGT